GGGAGGGAGGGAGGGAGAGAGGGGGATGGGGCTGCACTGAACTTCACCCAATCTTTCGGTCCGTTGGTTTGTCATCAGTGATAGCCGGCATGTGCGAGATGTGCATACGGTTGTTCGGCGGCTCCCACATGCGCAACTAAATGGTGTTCTTCCACAATCCAACGCGCTGGCTTTTGCGAAGTTTCACGCTCCAGCCGCAGTGGTGTGCATGTTTTCGTGTGGCTTCGAGTGGATATCGAGCTCGCGCCACCGATCCGTGCTCGTGTCTGCATTCAAAACAATCAACGCTGCAGTCCTGCAGTACTAGGCGGTGGGTTCATCGCACACCAATCGGCGAGAAGACACATCACCCGAGTGTGGACGCATGATGACGCACGTGTTCAGGGAATTGCACATCAGGGGAGATAGTTCGCATCACCTTGCTGCACGCCACTGCGGACGCTGCTTGCAATCTCCAAGCCCTGCACACTCAATCTTCAGGATGTGTCGGGGACGCTTGGGCTTCAAGCGCTTTTGTTTGCAATGTAGAGTACATGTTGGCACCGTGAATCGAAGCCATGGGCATCGACAAACCACTCGAAATCCACATTCCGAGGTTTTTTCTTGGTCTACCACCGAGGTGCACGTCTAGAGCACTGACCATTGGACCTACACCAACGTCGAAAACCGATTTGGGGCTACACCAGAGATGCACATCCCGAACGTTGATCGTGCAGGGCTACACCCGAGATCAACGTGCCGAGCGCAGCACATGTCCAGCAAGCCAGTGCCATCTATGCCCGGCGCCGATCATTGTGACGGAGAATAGAAGAGCTAGGATACACTGGTAGGAGAGCTGTGAGGTATCATACAAGCACTACAAACTCCAAACACTACCAAACAACACGCAGACAATGTTGAAACAGCAGAGAAACCAACTCTGCAACAACATCCGATATACACTTCGATATGAATCATTATGAATCCCCGAGTGTGGAGGCCGATCGATGCCACCAGGACTACGACAACATCGACGAAAACAGAGCAATCACCACCATGCAGACCCTGTCAAAACAGCAATCAAACCAACTCCGCTACGACAACGGATGCGCGCTGCGAGCTGTGTGGCACTGTGGACGTGAATCGATGTGTAGAAACACCCACCGACGCGAAATAAAGCGACGCCGGGCAAAATGGAAATCCAGTGACGTCTGTGTTTTGGGATGCATCGTCTTAGATACAGCCCTGCTTGAAATCGCCTTCCCCTCGCAGTCAAGTGCACGTGTTGCGGTGCGCACCGTCTTTCTGTGTTTGGTCGGAACTTTTTCCCCTAGAAGGAAGAGGGTTGCCTTTTGTGTTTGTCTCCACCACTGCATAGACAAAGGGGGAATCTAACAAAATTATGCCACTGCCTCAGTTCCAGTGTAGCCAGCCTGTGGCCTGGGGCTGGAATTGTTTTTGCACAGCCGAAAGTTAGGTTCGGCAAGAAAAGGAACACCGGTTATCAATGAGAGACTTGCGAGACCGACATGGGCGGTTTATACGGTTCAGGAGAGCCAGGCCCAAGTTCAAGGCGCCGTAAAGAGACACCTCAGTCCTTTCCTTCACCCCCCTGCCCCAAACAACGAACGGGAAAAACTTCTGCTGGCGGTTACTTACGGCTTAGATTTAAAAAAATGCATTCGAACGGTAACTTGACGGACGCTCTAATGCAAGAAAGATATCAGAGATATCAGGCATTCTTTCTCGTTGCCAAGACACAACATTATGGGGTCGGAATCTGTTCGGAGTGGAGCTGGCACTCAAACGATATCTGCTTTCAATTTAGCTATACATTCCGCTGCTGCTAGCCAACTACCGGTACTATCGAGAAGAGTACCATTTCCGGCCCGGGCCCTCTGCGGGCCTCTACGGGACCTCTGCGGGCCTTTACGGGCCCTGCGCGCTCAACGGGCCCTACGGGCTCTACGGGCCCTGCGCGGACCTTGCGCGGGCCCTGTGCGAGCCCTACGGGCTCTACGGGTCTTTGCGGTCCTTTACGGGCTCTACGGGCCTACGGGTTTTATGACTGGTTGTTGTAATACCACGATAAGTACCAACTACTACCACTAACAACTACAAGTAC